AGGAAAAATTATAAGAAAGAAAAACGCATAACCCGCTGGTCCGGAAAAAAATAAGAAAATAAACAAAGACAATAAAGGATCAAATGCCAAAGACCCAACAAGCATCGCACAACAACGACGGCTCGTATTTAATCCATATACGCAGACTTGACACACAATTACATAAATATAAACATAAACCGACAGCTGAAATGCATAATAATTTAAAAACCGTCCATCAAACTGTATCATCGCATATGTACTTATTTTGTATCAATGGTAACGAAACCACAAAGTTGTAAATGTTGTAGCAAAACGTGCAAAAACCATTCTTTTAATGTCAATGTCAGTCAGTCAGCCCACTCTTGACTCTTTTAGTCTGCCATGTATAGAAGAATAGGTGAAAAATATAACAAATACCCGCAAATTGTTTTGACTTTAACTGTTCAACCCATTGTTATCCTGGTTTATTTTACAGACTAACACTTTGAGGAAACCTGCACCTCAAAAAGTAGTTTGAGAGTAGTAACAAATATTAAATTACTATCTCCGCACCGTGAAGGTTAGCTGACCATGTGCCACTTTGAAAAGTTTGAAATATTTCCCTTCTACATGGGATTTGATGATCGTGCCAATGTTTACTATGAGAAAATTGTGCTCGAATGAATTAGTGCTGAGAAGATGACGCAAACTGGTAATTAATAATTTTGCATCATTTACGACCATTATATTGACACCGGATCTCTCATCATCATCATCGTCGTCATAATTGATAGTACTGACATTTACCATCAGGGTTAAAGTTAAAATAGTTTATTGTTGTGTCTGACCCAAATGAGACTCGACACAGTAATAATTCAGTTAATTGCCTTATTTAATGATCAGTCCAGAAGAGTACAATGGCACTGAACTGAACAAAAAGAGGATGGGTTATATAAAACTGCATTCATTCCTATGTAGGAAATGCAATATAGTTGCGAATTAACGCCCAGACAGTTATTCTCACATCCATGTTCATGCTAGCTCCGTTCCCGTCAGTTTAAGTTTTGGTCAACATCCTTTCCTATACTGGGTACGAATATGTGCTCCTACATACATAGGCAATCTGTTATGCAAAATCAAGTATTAAAATGTATTTATTAAATACATTTGACGGTGTACTCCACCACCGGACCATAATAATGATATGAGATGATCAGATGAGGAGGCAACAGAAAACTTGTTCTTTCCCTTCATCCTTCTTGGCTAGTCCGGTTGGACCGTAGTCGTGCAACTACTTATCATCATGACAAAACCCAAAGTTAAAATCATCAACATCACCTAATTTAATGTTTTTCCACTTTACAATGTGGAATTTGCATTAGTGCAAAAATGGGCTTGCGTTGCAACAACGTGAAGACTGGCTGAGCTGAATAGTAGAATTGCCAGATTCTTAATAGTTATTAGATCCGTCTTCATCATGCAATGCATAAAGCTATGTCATAAGGATATGAAGAGTTTTGGCCAAAATGACTTGCGTATTTTCCTAGATTTATTATGCGAATGAGATGTTTCGCAGCACAGAGTAGTGTTGTTATTACTAAACGTTACTTTCCCATTAGCACGATATGTATGCTAGAAACTTGCATGCAAATTAAATGAGCAGTTACAATGCAATGTGAGTCAGTGAATGACAATACATACACAACAACTCATCAGTAAAGGTGCTTCCACATTGTGTTCCAAAAAAATCAACATATAAAATTTCAAAAATAGTCTGCGAAATACTTTACCATTTTCATTTTTATCATTTTCTGCTCCTTGGCGAATTAAAACCAAACAATCTTGGTGAAATAATCCATCAACTAATTAATCTCTTTGTGCATCTATTGGATAATTTGTTGCAAAAAGGTTTACCTAATAATAAAATGTCTGCAAAATCATTAGTCGTGTCCATATCATCACCCTCGGTAATGTGTAAGCCAATAATAATGCAACCACTAACAAAAGTTTGGTGTGTAGTGCATTGACTGAAAACCAATGTAATTGAGAATAATGGTCAGTTAAAGCTAAAAGAACTGAATTGCTATCGAGGTTTCCGATAAAAATTTAATGAGTATCGATCACTTTGGCATTTCAGGTATTCAGGACGATTGCATAGAAAATGAATTGAAGAGTCCCACAGCAATCATGTTACTTTTTATTTTTGCTCAACTTGATGGAAGAACGTTTAAATTTAACAATATAAGAAACCCAAGAGACTAAACAGCACAGCAAAGCCGGAACCTTCTATGATAGATGAATGGATACACCCATCTTTACAAAAATGAACATGCAGGCATACAGCAATTACCACACAGTGGTGGTGATGATGCCTAGCTTGACCTAAATCTGGTCGTCGCGATTTAAGTTTACCAACCGAGTTGACTGACTGCATGCTATTTTGCACAAACGAACCTACTACTCGGGTCGATTGCTTTGCTTTTGCTCACACACACAACTTTGGTCTTGATTATTATTGTTTGTACAGCCAAAGTGGTAGTAGTCGAGAGTTGTGCCTATCAATCCTCATCCAAAATATGCTCACTTGCTGAAAACTGAAGTGCTAATGAGAGTAGAAATAGAAATTTGCCAAAATTATGTCAGATAATGGCATGCAAAATGAAAAAATAAAGACATGACATGAGGCGTGTAAATATCCCCAAGCTATATCTGGATGTAAAGGACGTTTCTTCTTGAATATTTAACTCCAAAATTGGATCTGTCTTATTTTAACAAAAAGTGTAGACTTGTAAGAAAGAAATAAAAATAATAATTAAAAGTATCCGCAGCACTACCAACCAAGAGTCCTACATGTCGCATGTACTTCATGGGGTGATGCATTGCCTTAAACTTGAACATTTGTTTCCATTGCCAAATATGTGTACACGTTCACGAAATGGAACAACCAAGTACGTCCGTACGTACCATATATAACCAATTAACACGTAATTTGAGCGTTTGTTCTGCTCCTTTGTAGCGTAAGAGGAAATAAGTGCAGTACTATGAATATAAATTTGAGCAGGCTTGTGTTTGTTTTTATTTCATATAAATCTCCCTTGTGTCTCGTCAAGCATCAAGCAAGATGCTTTGATTTTGATCTATTGAATTGAATTAAATTTAAATTCAATGCAATCCAGCATATAGCAACGCTTATTATAACGCAGCCGGCAAAGCTAATGCCAATGTTGAGAGTTGAATGTCCAATTGAAAACATCCTTCAAAAGTGTTCCGCCTGAGAGGCAGAGAGAGAGAGAGAGATATGTACGTTGGTTAACATTACTAGTTGAAAGTTGAAGATCACAATTTAAGATGCAACGCATTTGTTTTTAGTCCATGTATTGTGATTGTGCGGACACTACATTCATCCACTCGTTTAGAACGACATTGTCATTTTTTATGAATTAAAATCATTTAATTTAAAAGCCAAATATGGTAAAAAGTCTCTTTTTTTCTCCAACACTCTCATGTGGTGCGATCAACGGTAACACTACTTTTTTTTACTGTGGTCTTTGTGTGTCGGAAGTTGATGTTAACAAGATGACATTCATGACGGGCAGTAGCAGCAGTTGGACGAAGGGTTTACCGTTTTAAAAATGCACCCATGTAAACATAATTTAGCACATTGCAAATTTTCCTTTCCTTCTGTGTCTTATTGCAGGCATATTTGTCACTTCACTTCACTTTCACATTTGCATAAACCATGTGTCTATTTGTAAACTGAGACATAAAAATAAAGTAGTGTTACACACGTGACTTTATGGAAATAAGTTGACAGCTTTCCAATTTGTTTTATTTCATTGCCCCTTTAAATAAACACCCCTAAAGAAATTTGTTCTCCAGCCAGACTACTCGAAAATAATGAATTTATTTTTTTTTACTAGTTTCTTTAATCCAATATTACGTATTGAACGCGGATCAACACGGTTTATGTAGAATGATAAAAATAGTAGCATTTTGTGTACATACTTGTCCAATAGAATCCAAATGTTTGCATTGATTTGCAGAGTATTCACGAAAGCAAGTTGTGATAAAGGCTGTGCAAAGCGGCAATGAGGAAGTAGCCGTGTCGATGATAATAATCCACAAATCATCACTTGTGTATGTACAGCAGCAGAACTCGAGTATATAATACCTGAGTTTTATTGGATATGGCGTGGTGATATATGTGTGTGCATATACACTTTAGTGCATTTGTGGGAAATTGAATCGTGATTGTGTGGTGATGATGAGAAGTTAACGTACTACTAGCGATACTACTGGTGAGATTAAACTCATTCATGCCTTTGTTGTGATGACGCTGGTTTGTGTGATTTGAGTGTTTTAGACACGTACATACGAGATTAAAACACGGATGTAAATAATATTGTCTAATTCACATATTAACCTACAGGATTTGAACGGAACCAATACAATGCCAATCTTTTGTTGTGTATTGAATCAAACGTACTACTAATCCTGCTAGTAGATTACATCTTCAAAGAGGATAAAAAGAGAACAGATCTCCTGCTGATGTTATTATCAAATCACGTGTTTTACGAAATTGTGTGTTTGTAAAATTGACTCGAGAATATTGCAAGGATAAGAATGAATCGTGGTGGTTGACCGTTCGTTTTGAACACGGACACAAATAAAAGTTGGTGTGAGAAGGAATCTTTTATGTGCAAAGTGTGCCAAGTCCATGGTGGCAGTGATTAGTACTATAGGACGCGATTATGAGAAGGAGGAAAGTAATAATAAGTACTAACTAACTGGTACGTAGGCATGTACACAGTCGTCATGTTATTGTGCATATAAAATTTTGCGAGTTCGGCAAACTCCAACGGAACACAGAACGATGGCGACGAGACAATAATGAGATATGAGATCCTCATGATGATGCACATATTGCAATGTGATAATGTCGTCATGTCGTATGTATGCAGGTATGTAGTGCTGGTCTGCCGTGTTAATTCAGCGATGATATATGTATGTATAGAAAGATGTAGAGAAAAATGGGTTACCTTGATGCCGCTCCTTCCTTGTTGTTTGAGGAGCACATTTTCAGGCTTCATATCACAATGAATGATTTTATTTCGAGCAAGTGCATCGAGACATTGGAGAAGAGAGTGAGCAAATTTGCGAACTAGTTGGAGGCTAAATCCCTGGAACAAGTTAAAATTTTGGTTGTTAAGTCATATAGAACTAATTGCAATGTACATATTTTTTTAAACTAGTACACACAATATTGTAAAGTTGCAGGATCGACAAAACAAAAAAGATGCAAAATCATAATACAATTTCAAATAGTGGTAACTGCTCAGAATATGCGACCAAATGAAACGACCTTGCATACTTATTATTTGGAAAATAATGTGATCGCCTATTGAGATCATTTGCACAGAGTTTCGTGTCTAAGAATCATCTATGCGAATTCCTTCCAGACAAACCAAAATGAAGCAATATCATCTAATCTGTCTCAACAAACGGACCAATCAACCAAATTTTGCTCGACAAAACTTCTCCAAGAAGTTCGAGCCTTCTTACAGAAATTTAATGAGGTTGAGTGTATTCGGGTCCGAAGGCGATAGAATTGTTGAGTAATGAAACTCATTCTCAGTTTACAAATGTCTAACATCGGTTATAACGTGGGAACGTAATGTATTTATAAATACGCTATATTTAGCATGATTCCCTCAGACTGATTTTAATAAGATGGTTTTATTATAATAGAAAATTTTGAGAATTTTCTTACTTGGAACTTGTTTTTCTTAATGAGCTCATACAAGTTGAGAGAGAGTAGCTCAAAAGTTATGCAGGTATGGCTACGGAATGTGAAATGGTCACACATGTGAATGATATTCATATTATTATCCTTGTCCAGGTCCCTCAAGTGCTCCAAAATTCGAATCTCTTCTTGCGCCTGGCGATGAAATCTCTTCTCATTCCTCACCATTTTCAACGCCACATGCACATTGCATTTGTGGTCGTACGCCTTCACAACTTGGCCAAAGCTTCCTTTTCCTATCACTTTTAGCACTTCGTACCGATAGCCTACGTGGTCATGTTGGACGTGGACGTAGGACCCTTGGTCATCATCGTACCCGTTGTTATTCGAGCTGCCCACAATTCCTGGCCGTTTCTTTGCCCCAAGTCCAATGAAATACACTTCCGGGTAGGAGTTAATCTCACTAATCTCGTACGGCGTCAGTCTTGAGTGGTACAGTTTTATCACTTGCTCAGGGCTCACCGGAACTGACTTGTACTTGGTCCGGTTGGGTGTCATCTTGTTTGACTCGCCGGACAAGGGGGTGGATGGCCCCACGGTGAAGTCGGCCGAGGCAGGACGAGCTATCGTCGCTGGGGGCAGACTCTGACTCTGGATCTGCGTTGTCGACACGGACATGTGACTATAATTGTTCAGACTCCCATTACTCATCCCTATCCCTCCATTGGTAAGGGTTCCATTTGCTGTCGAAGTCGGGGGCAACATGGAGGTTGGTCCGCCCCCACCGGACGAGCTGTCGTCACTCCCGTTCGATAACAGTCTCTGAATCATCCCGACCCCCACGTCCAGCCCAACGTAGGACTGCTTAGCCGTGACCAAGGATTGTGGTCCTCCCTTGAGTGGGGGGAGGTGATGGTGGCTCCCGTGGTGGGAGTCGTTGAGCACGTGGGGGAGGAACGAATCTCCGTTGGAGTCACCGTTCAAGGATCCGTTCGCCGTGCCGTTGATGTTGCTGAGAAGACTTCTTGTTCTTGAGAGGGGCATGTCGATGTTCTGAAATTTGCTGTTGTTCACCCCGAGTCCTAGTCCAGCACTCAGGAGGGCCGTCGTTCCGCTGGACATTCTTTCAAGACAATTCTGTTACACAAGTTTCACACTACCATTTGATATATTATTCTCAACTTTCTCTCACTCTCTTGCACCACACATGCACACTCTCGCGTCGATATTATTATTATTCTCACGATAGATATTATTTTTACCCTACAACTTGCTCTCCACGATTAACCCACCTCCAATTCACTGACAACAAGTATCACTCTGACTATTTCGGTCGGCAGTGGATGAGACACTACTACGCTAAACTATGTACTACTCTGTACTTGCAAGAAAACTCCCTTCAACAAATTGATCACCACTTGTCACCTCTTCTCAATATTGCACGGCAGCAATACTTTGCTCGCTAATGCTAATGCCTCATATACTATCCATTATTACTTCCGTTTTTTCGTAACTGTCACACAAAACGAATCAATATTAACTAACAAATCTCACTCCAATTCGGATCGGATGAAAAAAAAACTTTTATTTTTACTTCAAGTTACTCCCCAAATTACAACTTTTAACAATATACAAGACAATAATTATCGAGTGATGATTAGATTCGTCAAATTTATGTTATCCAACTAAAACAAGGGTTCTACCACGATATATGTAAATTTCCGAGACTGGCTCGTTTTCCGATTTTGAAGTATGATTACGATTTTATTTAAGTTTCCGAGTCTTCGTCCCAGCAAGCAAGTGAAGTTGTGCAGAAGTAGAATCGAGAGGGAATATTTGGCGAGCGAGTGAGTGGTCCACTGTGATCACTGCCTGGCAGAGGACGCGTGTCCGTTATGTGCGAAGACTGTGCAGCAACTGAAGTGAGCGAAACGGGTTCTCCCATCTAAAAGTCGTCGGAGAGCAAAGCAAAATAAATAGTTCCACGTTAAGCCTTTTGCATGCATGTTGCTGCTCATATTGGGTCTCTGCTGCCTTACTTGCTGTGCTGTGTATACGAGGTGGCTGGCTGGATGTGAAGAAGGATATATGATACTCGCCCCAAGCGAGAACTGCATTTACAGAGTCCTGCTCTATGCTTTCTTTTAGCAATAATATCACACACAGTATCGTTGAACCTCTTCTTCCTCTATTTGGTAGGAAAAACATGGATTGTGTGATGAATTTCAGGAATTATGGGGGTGTAGAGCTCTTTTTGTTATAATGAGTTAAGAAATTGGTGATAAGAGAGGTTTTTCCTTTAAGAAAAAGAAAGCAGAGGGTTAGGAACGCTTGCTTTTAGTTAGGAACGGAGGAGAGAGGGGTGTGGTTAAGGAAATTTCGAGAATATCGAGATACACCATGATGCCATTTCTTTCAAACTTATTTCAAAACATTTAACAAAATTCATGTAACAACCCTGTTTAAATATGTGAAAACAATGCAAGAGCTTTTGCAGGAATTCTGTTAAACGAGCAATTCTATAATATAAAAGGTGAATTATTTCTTGCTAAGTTCATCAACGAGACTTTTTTCAACGTGTGTGACACGTATTTAGACTTATTAGTTCATTGCACGTTCTTTTTGATCTCTTATTGTCCTTCTTGTTCAAAACTTGGTCCACGACAACCCCCACTTATCACGTCGCTTATGTACGAACCTCGCCCCAAAGGTAGACAAACTCTGGCGTATAGTACGGCCCGCACTTAACGTGGCGTGGATATGCATTAAAGCAGCCAAACTTTTATGTGAAGAGGGATGCGTTTCCCCCTCAGGGTTTCTTCTCGTTCGTATAAACCCAATCTAAACCACCAGCAGCAGCAGCAATGCGATGCGATTGCATCTTCTTCATATACATTTTCAACCCTACTTTGCCATACAGCAGCGTCCGTATTACAGACTTTTGTTGCACGATGATGATGGTGCGTATATATGTAATGTGCATGCTATTCTTGTCCCGACATCCTCCATAGCGAACATCCTCCTATTTCCCCCACTACACTCACTCACTTCCGTATACTGCATGCAGGCAGACTGCACCGACTATACATGCGCTCACGGAACAAACATACAATGTTGGATGGATGGAAACCCTCGCACCAGGCCATGGGAAAATTGAACCACTTATTTATTATGCAATCCGAGAACATTAACAACTCCAGAGCGTTATGTGCAATTTTTACTCGAGCGATGAGCTTCTTCTTCAAAAAACCATTCGATAACTCGGACAGAAGAGGGCAACAAAGCAGTCCGTGTGTGTGTCGGGATGGAATGAATGGTCCCAAGCTTTTGGAAATAAAATTGTACGTACAAAATGTCCTTGTTTCATCAATAAGCAAGAAGAAGCAGGCAAGAAGTGTACCCTCCCCACCTGAATGGTCCTTCTTGTTTGAAATTTTAAATTCAAAAGGCTGGGTTCAAGAGGGGAGCTGAGTTGTACGTATAATTGCATGGTTGGTGCATGGTAGTAAGCTCAAAATGCATGATGACTGTGCAATGGTACTTGTCTCAAAAAAATTTAACGTCACACGTTTATGGCTCCTTTTACACCGGTGGTATATCATGTGAAATAAAACCTGGTCTTTTTTAGCACTTTATCATATTTGTCCATTACGTATTGATAGGTCGGCTGTATAGGATTTGGTGGGACAATATCGTATAAAAACCATTGCTTACTTACGAGTCTATATATTTAAGGCCATCTACATAATGGATGTAAGCTCTCTGTTTATGTTGTTCGGATGGATGGGTTATCCTCATCGTGACCCGAAATCGAGCAAACAGAAGAAGAATATCGTAAAGATTGAGCGAGTGCATCCTCGATATACCAAAACCAACCCTTATTTATGTCAGGTTGCTTTAGCCTGGATGAAATCGGTTGCATGAGACCATGATAATTGTGTTTGTTTGTATCCTACATGTTCTTGCCCTACCTTTGCAAGTAATAATACCACAATTTAATGGTGATGTTGTGTTGCATGCATATAGCCTTTACTTCTTGGTATACCTATGTACATGCTACATAATAGCCTGAGTCAGATTGTCAGGTTGGTGTAGCAGTGCAAAAAAGTGCATCCAATTTTGATGGTCATGTTATGATTCACATTTTAAGCAATTGCATTTGGTCTTGATTTTATGTGATGGTGACCAACCAACAAAGAGTTGAAATATAATGGTTTAAAATCAGGTTGTGTTTGAAGAGTGAGCTTTTTACACTATTATTTGCTAGGATTTAGTTTTGGTAAAATCCAACGTAACCTGTTCTTATATAAGAGGATTAAATTTTGCAAAGTGATTGAAATTTGTGGCCTTTTCAATGGTTTTTGAACCTCTAGGAAATAAAGGCATACGTACGAACGTGCACACACCCCTTTTAAATTTTTATTGAGAAATAATGAGTCTCTTCCTCGGGACACATGAAGCAGATACTTGCAAATATATGTGCTAAACAGGCAGATGCGAGTGCAGATATTTCACAAATTCAGAAAAAATGCGAATATCATCTGAAAGAATCAATCAGGTATAAAAGTAGTGACCCGCGTGTTGCATTACATATTTCTAGCAAATTAGACAGGTCATGTGATGTAAATTGCAATTTAGATTTGAGATTGCAAAGGTGAATGAATATGTACAAGGGACCTTGTTGTGTGTTGTGCTTCGTTAGTTGGTGGTTAGTTAGATCAGATCTCTGATGAGATGAGAGCGTCATTGCCCTCGAATCGAAATAAACTAAACTACTCGCATCTGAGTCCCATCACATCATTATGTTGGGCTGCATATAAGCGGTGTACATAGAATTATGTACATACGTACGGATGGAGTATACGAAAAACGATCCTAAAACCTAGCCTACTTAAATTTACAACAACTCACTTATTTACTACCACCACTCACTCCTCGCTTCTTTCCTTCTTCTTCTGCATCTTCTTCTTTTTCTTGAGAGTTGCAATCATAAAATATAAAAAGGCTGGTTTTGCTCACCTTTTGAACATATATAGATAGATATATATATACCTTAATTCCGACCTGAACGAAACCAGCAGTAGCCACAGATGCAGCATCTTGCACCTGGTCAGGCAGGCCCAATAAGTCAAATCCCTTGGAGACAATAATCTTCAAGTATCTTTACCGGGATTCGGGATGAAATCATGAGACTGCAGTTTTCTCCAAGCAATTTTTGAGCCATACGTAATTACCTCAGATAACTACATCTAGTTCAGATTGGAATCCAAGCAAATATTTGATATGCAGGTATTTCGTGATTTATCAAGGAATGCTTTGCGTCGGCTCGTTTTGCAAATTAGTTTTGAAGCAATCACGGTGCTATACACATGAACATACTTGCTCGTTCCGTGTAGTATGCATGGTAAATTAAATGGCAAGATGTACCAGCAGAGAGAATCAATCCATCCGTTGAGAACCAATAATAATAATACGAGACACTTTGGTTGGTTGGTTGGGTGCTTATGTTTGCTGCTCAGTTTTGCTGAATCATGCTTTTTTCCTGATTAGTACGACTTGGCACATTAGTCAAGTACAAGGAAGACTGGAGGGTGGAAAGTGACTAATTTGAACAAGAGTTCAAAAACTTTTATTTTTTATTCCTTTGTTGTGTGAAGGAGCAGTAGGAGTTGGAAATGAAACGAGAAAGAGAGAGAGGTACTCCATGAAATGTACATACGTATTTATGTTAACTGCATATCCACCGCTCCATAAGTACACACGTATATTTGATACATAACACAACCACGTAATAATAATGCTACCCATCTACAGCAGTGTTGACCATATCAGTAGCCCGTAAATATTACAAGCCAAAGTATTAATTTGAGTTGCAAACCTTGTTTTCCCGTTTTTGTTCAACTTGCAATAAAAAGCGACCCTATTTTTAAACTAAATTGCCAAAATTTTCTCGAATCTGTCTATTCGCGTGAATTGTTGCATAACATGAAAGTTTGAATTTTACCATAAAACTTTGTTCCTACCATTACTCATCAAAATTATTTTTACTTGCTTATGTACCGCATGGCAGGTTTAAAGTGTTGTATTCGACGCGATTATGCTGCTGCTGCTGCTGGGGATCCGCAATCAGTGGAATAATAACAATAAAAAACTTTTCTGCTGGAGGGTACCAAACAAACAAGTGAAACAAAAAACAACTCGCCCTCCATTCTCATCTCGTTCTCTTCTTCCGTCCTCCGAAACCGTGCAACAATACCAAAATTGCGTGATGTTTCAACACATTTGAAATAAAATATGCAAATTTTGCGTAGAGTTTAAAGTCCATGAAAAGGGATGGACGACTCGTCAATCGTCATACGCTTCCCTGACTTTTGGCCTCTCCTTCCTCCAAATCTGTGTATGTATCTCAAACGTATGTTTATTTTGCATCGGATATAATGCCAAACCTTTATATGGACCAAATGCTTAATTTGTATTATTATTCATGACTTCTCCAGTGTGCTGCCTGTTATTATGGCCAGAGGTAAAAAAACAGAGAAGCAGCAGCAGCAGCAGCACAAGACGAACTAATCGCCTTGTTTAAATCAAGTTTACCAATTGTTGAAGCCTTAAAAGTATTGCGGTGGCTTTCGCTCCAATAACCAGACTTTGCTCCTTGTACGAAGGATTTATTAGCATATCAACGGTTGGCTGCTTGAGAGTATTTATTACGTAGTCCAACCTGGTCAACTTGATGGCTGCTGTAAGCTATTGGTTATATTTGATTTGGTTCCTGCTGCTGTCTTATTGGATGCTTATCGTGCCCCATTGTTTCACTCTGGTTGTCTGCTGAAAGGCTATATGCATACTCAGCTTGTCATGTCTGTAATGTTTTGCTGGATGGAGCCTAAGAGAAACATGATTTAAAGTTTTACATTATTCAGTGACGGCCCACTTAACCGTTATACTAATCAATAATTTCCAGCGAATAATATATACGCAACATGTATTTTACTTGTCGTCAACTTGTATCCGAAAACCAAGTCGACATTTGACAACGTTACCGACGTGTATTCAAATTGTAAATTTATATTCTTGAAAACTGCGGACATGGAAGCAGCCAAT